AACCTCCACCCTAGCATTCAGAACATGTGAATGCCATCTGAACATGGCTGCATTTTTTCTAAAAGTTTCCTTAGATGAAAGAAAAAGATTCTTTGGATGCAAAGGAACAGCCAAGCAAATCTGGGAGGACTGAGCCAAATGCCTGCCTGGTCAAGGGGCAAAAGGGTTTCATTCAACAAGATGGTGTTAAACCCAGGTGTTCTGTTCTTTCAGCTTTCTCCATCTGGTGGGAAAGCTGCCCATACTCTGAGGGGCTACAGTGCATTTGTAATCTTCCTGCACTGCTAACCAAGGTGGTAACTTCTAGCCCACAAAGCTCCCATTTCTCCTGTCCATTCCCCACCAACCCAGAAGCGGGTCAGTGCAAATTTCGGCTCCATCTGGTGCACTGCATGACAGTAAAAAATGTGGGTCTGTTCCTGGTTGTGCTACTTGATGAGTGGGAGACCCTGAATAAGCATTAAGTTCCTCATTTTATCTAGCACTTATTTTTGCTGTTGATGTGTAGGAGTTCTTTATATATCTTGGATGATAATCCCTTATCAGATATATCATTTGTAAACATTTTCTCCCATTCTCTGGGGTTTTTTTTTTTACTCCCTTCAGAGATCGCCTTTTATGTAAAATGTTTTAAATTGTATTCTAAGACTGAATTTCTTCTAAGTGAAATGTACCCTTAAAATTATTAAAATGCTAAATTTAATTTTATGCATATTTTATTGCAAAAGTTTATCCTTCCATGCATGCCCTCTCCATGGGGTTTTGTGGGCACTGGATTTTTAAGTGAGGAAACAATATTAGTCTACAAAGTACAGCCCAGGCTCCAAAGTGAAGAACTAATAACTAGTGTGATTTAGTCCATTGCTCTGACTACTATAGAGTCCTGTAGTCTGGTACTCTTTTCCTCGTGACTCCGCTTCTGCCCTAGTGTTACCTTTCTGAGTTGTAGGACAAGTCTAATCCCTTTCCCACATGGTGGCTCTCCCGGTACTTGGTGGCAGCAGCCATGATCACAGTAGCACCACTGATTGATTCCCCAGTCCCCCCAGGTAGCATGAGACACATGTTCTAAAGCAGGTCAGATTCCCCAGGGAGAAGACAAAGAAAGCAGAACTTGGGGGCGGGGAGACACACAATGCAGCCAAGCAAGTAATGGAGCTGGGATTTGAACCTTCAGAGATGTCCATATTTTGGATACAAGAACACATTGCCCCTGACCAGGTTCCAGCTTCCTCTTCAGCCTTCTCCACAATCCCTTGGTTATCCCCACGTGGCTTCCTTCTGCATCCCTCACCAGCCTGTTTTTCCCTTGCAGTGCACACCAAGTTGGTCTCACCAAGGCAGGAGTGAGCAAGTCCTTCCTCTCACTATGCATGTAGCCCATTTTTCACAGACACTCTGTTGAACCCAGCACTCTAAGGCCCAGTGGCCCCATGAAGGGAAAGGATATGAGGGAAACACATTCCAAGGCCCAGCAGCCCCTTCTTCCCACCTCCTCCCTTTGCTGAAAGCAGGGCCAGCCCATCCATTTCTCCCACAGTCTTTCCTCCCTGGAGCTCCTGCAAAGGAAGATGCCATGATCTCAGGATTAACAGCCTGTTTGTTTAAAGGGCTTATTACTGGTGCTTAATGCTATTTTGACAGATGAAAGTGAGTCAATTATAGCTGGGAATAGCTCTGGTTGCAGAAGTTTCTTCCAGGTAGTTGCCCATTCCCTGCCCATGGAACTTTTTCTTTGGTTGCCAAAGAGCAGTATTTTCCTTCTATTGTTCCTTTGTACCCCCAAAACTATCTCAAGAGTTTCTTCTGTCCTGGTAGAAACAACACTTAAAACTAGAGCCTAAATCCATGCGATGAGGGCTGCTGTGGCTCATGTGACTGCCCCTTTCTGTGACAGGCATGAAGTGAAAAGATGACAGAGGGAGCCCGACAGGTCAACCAGTGTGGTCCGGGGAGGCGTGTCCAGTCAGCTGTCCCTCCGACTCCATCAGCCATGAGTGTGGTTGTCCCTTACTGAACCTCATGTTAGGTATTTTCGGGGGACAGGGGGTTCCCTGTGTTTATACCCACCAAAGTGAGGCTAGTATTGGTCCTAGGCTTGGGTACAGCAGAGTCATCTTTATGGGCACGAAAGCCCTCTGTGGGTGGCTCAAAGGGCTTCCTTGCATGAATAGGAGACCCAGGGGAGAGCATCCCGACGCCCCTTGGCTGGGGAGGAGTTGGTACACTGGGCTTTCCCACATCTCCAGGGCAGGGCTGTGGTCTGCCCTGCGGCTGTATGGACAGGTAGGTACCCGGGAGAGAGCTGGGGCGGGGAAGCATGGTATACATTTGTAGCAGGTATCTCAAATGTATGCCTGAGAAAGAACTCTCTTCCTCAATCCTCCAAACACAGCGGCTTCTCTGGGCTCTCCTATCACAGGGCACAGCGCCGCCACCCACCTGCTTGCTCCATCTCTAGTCCCGACTCATCCTGAATTTTCCTCTTCTCTCCCCACTCTCTCAGCCCTTTGGTAGCGGTGTCAGCAAACCCTGCTGCTGCACCTCTGCAATGTAGAGCAGAACTGACCACGCTGGGATGCAGCCCGCCCCACCCGTCTTTATCGAAGCTGCAATTATTTCCTGTCTGGGCGATCGCAACAGCTCCCCAGCCCCAGCCCCATCCTCACGCTTGCCGCAGGATTTTCTGAGGACATAAGTTCAGTCTTTTCCTTGACTTCCATGGCTGCCCCTCAGACCTATGATCAAGATCATACTCCTTCCTGTGGTCCACGAGGCTAAGTGTATTCAAGTCTCTGCCTCTTGCCAACACCCCCCATCTCTTTCCCTTGCTCGGTCTGCTTCAAGCACACTTGTCTGCCGATCTGCGAGCGCACGCTTCCACCCTGTGGCCTCTGCCCTTGAGCTTCCTCCCACCTGGAAAGTTCTGCTCCCAGATCTGTGCAGGGCTGCAGCCTTCTCCTTCCTAAAGTCTTAGCTCACACCAACTTATTTCCACAGACCTGCCTGACAGCACTCTTATTTTTTGTTTACTTATAATTTATCTTCCCCTACCAGGAAATTTAAGTTCTAATGAGATCAGGGACTTAACTTCATTCACTACTGAGACATGGTGTCTAGGATAGGATCTAGCATATGGTAATCATTCAGTAAATATTTGTTAAATGAATGTGTGCAGGTGATAAAACATGATTACTTGTTTGGTATTCTCCCACTGAGAAGTAGGGTCTGCATCCATCCCCCTGGATTCTAAGCCACCTTAGTGACTGGCCATTAGTTTATATTAGAAGCAACACTTCTGCTTTGGTGTTGGGACCATGTCAGCAGCCTGACTGCCCCAGAGGACACCATGCTATAAAGAACCCGAATCTAGTCCATGCCAGAAAGACCACTTGGAGAAGCCCCAAGAGGAGGACAGAGGAGAGGCACAGTCCATTCCAGTCACTCCAGCCCTGCTGTCCTACCACCAGTCACTATTCGACTGCAACTGTAGGAGACCCTGACCACAGACCACCCAGGGGAGCCACTCCTGAATTCCTAATCAACAGAAACTGTGAAAAATAACAAAATGATTGTTGTTCTTCCAAGTCACTAAGATTGGGGTGACTTATTTCATTGTAATAGACACTGGAGCAAAGTGAGTGAAAGCTGAACACCCATCTGTTGTCTGGTGGCTGCTATAGGGAGCGTGGGGCCTATTCCTGGCCACCAGAGTGGTCCAGGTGCCCGGGGGTCTCTGTCCAGGTCTCAGGGATGGGAGGGAGTAAACAGGAAACAGAATGAGCACTTGTTTGGCTGGGGCTGTCCAAGGGCCTCATCTCTTCAACATGGACTCCTAGGTGCTACTAGGAATAGGTAGCACCTTCTCAATATCCCTCCCTTAATTTGTGGGTCGCCTTTCTGGAATCTGAGACCCAGGCCTACCCAGGAGAACCACGATCTGATTATATCCACTAGACGCACAACTCTTCTCAAAGAGAGTGGGTTCCATTGCTTTAACGCGATCTCTTTCCTCTTCCTAGTGAAGTTTCTCCTCCATCTTAGGGAGAAGCTTTCTGGACAAAAACATATCCCACTTTGGAGTTCTCTTAGCTCCACCCACAAGGTGTTATTTCGCAGAGTTAGCATTATGCCCGGAAGAGGAGTTGACGGTGATGGCGATGACGATGGTAACCCTGAGCTCTCTCCCGACCTTTTCCTGACTGCGCTAGGCATTTCCTGTGCTGTTGCCCAATTTAGTCTCCACATCCCCGTTCTCTTACCCTTTTCATCCCAATTTTACTGATGCAGAAGCTCAAGGCGAGAGAGATTAAGTGACATATCTGAAGCCAATCCAGCTGATGTCTTAGGAATCGCTTACCTGGGATGGTAGGTGAGACAGTGGCCACAATCTTCCCTCCCTCGTTTCCAGCCTCTGTTCTGTCCCACTGAGCCTGGATACGGCCTCAGACTCATTCTTAACACAGACCTCCAGGCCTGCTCTGTCTGTCAGTTGGTCACAACTGGCAGGCCAGGGGAAGCCTATCTGCCAGCTCCCCTAATTTCTCCAGAAATAGGGGCCCAGGAAAGGCAGGTGACTTGTGAGGCCATCACAGCTGGGATAGGAGGGACAGGAGGGACGTGGGGAGCAGCGCTGCCCACCCGCAGCCCGGCCGGCTCACCC